GAAAAAAAAGTTGTTGTCGAGTCAATTCTGACTCATGGAGACCTCATGTACATCAGAGTACAACTGTGCCCCATAGGGGTTTCAAAGGCTGATTTTTCAGAAGTAGATTGCCAGGCCTTTCTTTTGAGGTGCCCCTGGGTAGACTCAAACCTCCAAACTTTTGGTTAGCAGTTGAGTGCCTTAACCATTTCATCCACCACTTGTGAAATGGTGTTCCATCATTCTTTCTCTATATGTTAGCTGAGATTATCTGAATATAAGAATTTTCTCTTGTACTCAGTCTAAGTTGGTTATTGTGAAATACAATTCACATCGGAAAAGCAAGATAAATGCTTAATTATTTCCCTTTAATTATCAAATTTTAGAGTAATTAATTGATGCCTTGCAACTTTCATAAGTGCTCAAGAGTTTCCTTTTGTTTCCCCTACTTCCTTAAAAATTAATATATACTCTTTGGTTTTTATATATTCTATGATTTTTTCTCAGTTGAAGGCATCATTTTTTTGAAGTTTAATTGCTTCATATTTGGCCAGCTGGCTCCTGTGTCTCTTTAGCATGACCTTTACAGAGTTTCCTTAATTCTGGAACAAAAAGATGTCCCAGGCTCATTTTGTGTATTTCCTGGCCAATCAACTATTTCTCCAAGGAGCCCTGATCCCTTTTAGTGTGAAACAGTATTTAGAAATGATACTTGGACACTAGAAGTGATCATTGCTGCTAGGCTGTCATGGCTTCTGGGCCTTCTGCACAGAGTTAGGAAATACATATTTTGTTAAAAGTGAAGATATCAGGAATTCACAGTGATATTTCCAATTCGTATTTAAGATTCCAAGGTGTTGACTTAATTTATTTTATTTTATACTTGCAACTCTATTCTTTTATGCTGAAAATATTTGTTACAACAATAGTAACATAATTACATAATTTCTTCAACTTACAATATACTGCAATGGACTCAAAATAACCAGACCGTATCACTCATTAGTTTCCTTATTCTCTCATCATCTCAATTTTTTTAAAAAAATTTTTATTGTTGTAAAAATATATATAACACAACATTTATCAAGTTAACATTTTTCAGGTGTACAATTTTGTGATATCAATTACATTAATAATGTTATGCAACCATCACCCATAATCATTGCCAAATTTCCCATCACCATAAACAAAAACTCACTGCTAAACAGTAGCTCTCCCATTCCCCCCTTTTCTCATCCTTGAACCACTAATAAATTATGGTCTCAGTTGGAATCGATTCAACAGTAACAAGTTTAGTTTGGTTTTGGTATTCATTGGCATGGAGCCCTGGAGGCACAGTGATCAAGTGCTCACTTGCTAATCAAGAGGTTGGCAGTTTGGATCCACCAGTTGCTCCCTGGAAACCCTAGCGGCGGTTCAACTCTGTCCGATAAGGTTGCTGTGAATTGGAATTGACTCGATGGCAAGGGGTTTGGTTTTTGTTTTTGATACATTGGCATTTTTTTTTTTTATTTCATATAAGTGAGGTCATACAATATTTGCCCTTTTATGATTGACTTATTTCACTAATCATAAGGTTTTCAAGCTTCATTCATGTAGATCAGGACTGCATTTCTCTTTACGGCTGAGTAGTATTTCTTGTATGTATATACAACATTTTGTTTATTCACTCATCCATTGATGAATGTTTAAGTTGTTTCCAGTTTTTGGCTATTGTAAACAGTGCTGGCAGTGAACACTGATGTACATGTGTCTGTTCAAGTTTTTGCTTTCAAGTCTCTTGGGTATATACCTAGCAGTGGAATTGCTGGGTCATATGGTAGTTCTATGTTTAACTTTTTGAGGAACCACCAAACTGTTTTCCTTCATGCAGATTTTAAATATGGCATATTCTATAGTCTGCCAAAAATTCTTTAAAATCGATGTGCATACATGAAGGAAATAATCCAGATGTGAATTAAGTAGTTCAGGAATTAATAGAACCATCTTTTGCCTTGAATTGAAACTGGGTTATTAACTATCTAGGCTAACCTACTCACTGATGACGTCTCTGACCATCCTATTGAAACTGTGCTGCCTCCGTTGCCTTGTTCTGGAACATCCTCCCTGTGGTAGGCAGAATGATGCCCCCCTCCCCCAAAAGTGTCCATGTCCTAATCCACAGAATCTGTGAGTATGTTACTTTCTGTGGAAAAAGGAACTTCACAGGTGTGATTAAGTTAAGGAGAGATTATCCTGCATTATCTGAAGTAATCACAAGGGCTTTTATAAGAGAAAGAGGACAGCAGGAGAGTCAGAGTCAGAGAAGGAGATGTGAGAACTGAAGCAAATTTGGAGTGATGCAGGAGGGCCATGAGCCAAGGAATGTGGGCAGCCTTTAGAAGCTGGGAAAGGCAAGGGAATGGATCTTCCCCAGAACCTCCAGAAGCAATATAGCCCTGCCCACACCTTGATTTTAGTTAAATGAAACCCCTTTCAAATATTTGATATCCAGATCTGTAAGACAATAAATTTGTGTTATCTAAGCCACCAAGTTGGTGAGAATTTGCTACAGTAGTGATAGGAATCTAATCCACCCCATGTGTGTTTTCTTCATAGTATGTACTACAGTTTGCAGTTATTTCCATTATATTTCTGTCAACTTATTAACTGTCTCTTTCTCACTAGAATGTAAGCACTATGAATTTAGGAATCTATGTTCTTATTAACTTTTATCATTCTCACTGAGCACCGTGTCTGATATTTAGTAGTCTCACAATAAATATTTGCTAAGTGAACTGATATTAATATAGCCTAAGATTGTATTGAATTATTGTAGCTCACATTACACTTGTGAGAGGAAAAATAGCCAGATTTTTTATACTTCACAAAAGTTATTGCAAAACCTGTTAATTTAGCAGTGGAGCAATTGGTTAAATGCATTACCTGTCTACCTTGTACAAATTTTAATTTTGTAACAATTGTGTTTTCATTAACTGACTGTCTGCATTCTCTAAAAGTCAGTAAAAATCCTTAAGGACAAGGACAATATTTTATTCTTTTTTAGAAGCCCTAGATCCTAATTCAGTGCCTGACATTTATTAGACACTCTACAAATATGTATTTAATAAATGAGAACTAATGAGGGAATTTGCTGAGGTTAAATTCAGTAATTCATATTTATCCTTCCTATATTTTTCTTCAAGGTTTAATTTTGAATTTTACATTTATTTACCTACGTTATCAATTATATTTCTAAGTTTTCTTTCATACAGAAATTTGCTGTGAATGACATTTATTCTTTCTTTCTAAAACTTTTGTATTGTACAATATATACTGATCAATATCTAGACAGCATGCATGGTTTTAGGTGATGGGGACAAAGAAGCAAAGGAGATATAGAAGGTCACTCTTCTGGGGGCTCATATTCTAGCAGAAATAGACAGACAACAAATAGCAATAAAATACCAGTTAGTGATAAGAGTTTTGTAAAGAAACCAACTTACCAGATAACTTAATTTTGTTGTTTTACATCTCTCCACAGTAGTCATTCTATGCTAAAAAGAAAGTAGTTTTCTTTTTTCCCCTATCCTTTTTTTTCTTCCATTCATATCATTCTGATTTCTATGTTTTCAATTTTTATGCTACTCTCCAGGCATGGAATGTCCATTTCTCTCTTGTATGTGCACATGAAGGAGGTTAGTTTTGGGACTTGGAAGAACAAATTTAAATTTGATCTCTACCAGGTATTAACAAGATGTACAAGAGTAGTAGTCTAGGTGAGGCCCACTTTTCTGTCTTTAAAATGGTGATACAGCTTTAATACCTTTTTCAGAGGGCTGCTTAGTGAATCAATGACCTATTACACGTAAAACATCTACTATGACTGGAACGTTGTAAGCTCCTCTTAAAATACAGTTTCCTTCTTAATCTTTCACCCAGATATTCAAAATCCCGCCCTTCTTTAAAGTCCAGAGCACTTTTGAATCCATCTTTTTCTGGACTCCTATTATAGCACTCTTAGTTTATCCTACCATTTTGTGAATTCTGTACTCTTTATGTCATCACATTTTTTTTCCTTAAGTGACTTGTCCAAGTTAACACAACTTGCCTTTCTCCCTTAGTCTGTCTTATCCCTTTTGAAAGCAGCCCCTCACTCAATATTGCTTTTCCTTGTCTTCTCAGAGGACTTGGCACAAATAATTAAAATAATGTCAAGTTATAGTACATACTTTGAAGAAAATGTATGTTGGAGTGGGTTAGATTCCTATCACTGCTGTAACATCTGAAATGGGTTTCACAGTGCTATCGAGGGAAGTGGCGAGAGATAGTAGAGAGCTATCCTGGGGATGAGAAATACTGTATTCTCATTCAGGTTTATCTCATCTCTCTAACAATATACTTGTTCCTTATTCATTAGGTGAAGATGCTATTACCTGCGTGCCACGCGTACCTCACCAGGTGGTTCTAAGAATATAGTGTGGAAAACTACAAAAGGAAATGTATGGTGCAATACCTACTTCCAAGGCTGTATAAAATAGTGGCAACACAAACCTAACTTCAATAATCACTGCAGTGTATTAAGCTCTTACTATATGCCAGACACTGTGTCAAGCACTCTATACTCAATTTCTGAAAGTCAACCTGACATAATGATGAAGAACACTAATTCTGAAGACAGACTACTCGGGTTTGACTTCTGGTTCTGCCACTTTCTTGTGTGTAATTTTGGGCAAGTTGTTTAACCTCTCTGTGCCTCAGTTTTCTCAACTGTAAAATAGGCTTAATAACATTAACCACTTCATAAGATTATGAATTGCATTAAATAAACAAATGATTGAAATGCATGCACCTAGCACTGTGTAAATGCTTTCTTTATTAAACTTTGTTATTTAATCCACAAAATAGCTCTTATTATTATCTCCATTGTATAGCTAAGGCAACTGAGGCTTAAGTGACTTGTCCAAGGTAACAAAGCTTGTAAGCAAGTGAGCAGGGCTTTACCTAAACTTATCTAACTCAAAATCTAGAGAGGGTCCGTAATGGTGGAGAGGATTTACCCCTTCTACCCCAGAGGATATTTTACAATATCTGGAGACATTTTTGGATGTCGCAATTGGGGGAGCATTACTGGCAACTAGTAGGTAGAGGCCAGGGATGCAGGTGAACATCCTACAATGCACAGAATAGCCCTCTATAACAAAAAATTATCTGGTCCAAAATGTTAATAAGGTTGCCAGATAAAATACAGGACATCTAATTACATTTGGATTTCAGTTCAACAACGAGTGTTTTGTTTTATTATAAATATGTCCCAAATATGTAGCATATTTTACTGGGAGTCCTGTATTTTTAATTGCTAGATCTAGGAAACGTAGCTCAATGCTTGGTTCTGCTGTATCATTCTTTTATGAGAAGGGACCCTTACAGATGGAAACAGAGTCTCTCATTAAAAAAAAAAAAGCACGTGTACATATATAAGCAACCACATGTTCAATGCAATAACTATTTACTAAGTCATGCTCATGCCCTGTTGCAACAGGAAAATCCTGACCACTTTTAATATTTTTTTTCTTTGCCTTTTCTTGCCTCATAAGAAGTGAACCAAAGAGGCCATGGATGGTAAGTCTTTTCATGTATCTGGCTGTGTCTTTAGGAGAGATATTTGGGGGAGGATATGGCTCACTGGAAGTTTTTATTGGACTCTGTACAGTTTGTGTGAACAGTATCTAGGGGAAGAAGAAAGGGAGGAGCTTGCTTTCCCTGATCTGTATACTTTCAGGCTCGGAACCCAGGCTTCTTGTGGTGCCCGTGAGTCAGGTGCTCAGCTGGATTTTCTTGGCATTTCAGATAGAAAGGTGAATGACATGATGGGGCGTGACCTCACTTTCTGAGGTTATTTTTGTGGTTCTACCCTGAATGCTCAGATGTCCAAAAATGGCTGAGATTCAGAATCTGCTTAATAGGATCATCATGGGCTGTGTCATTAAATTTAAGAGAAATCCAAAATTATATCAATCTGACCATTATTGACTCTAATTTCCAGGGATATATCTATCAAAGTTATAACACAGTTGGAGCTTCCTGGTCCTTGCTGGGAACTCACCAAAGCAGAGCAAGAAGAACTGCTTTGATAAAAACAGCCTCATTTTGACTTGGCTCAGTAAGAATCCTGGGAGTGAGTGTCCATGGGCTTAGAAGAATGAAGGGGAACTTAGAATAAATAGGCCATTTGATGGGACATCTGGACAATGAAGAAGGTGTATAAAAAAATGGGCAGCAGTTACTGAGATATCAGAGTGATACTTCTTAATGTGACTATATAGTTTTTAGCATTGCCAACAAGTTGGGACTTCTTCAGGTAGGATTTCTCAATTTTGTTTAAGGGACGTCTCAACTTGCCCAAGTATCTTTGCACCCAATCTCTGCTTTCTTACTTATTTGTCAGACAATAGATGACTCAACAGCTCCTAACCTTGTATCTACTCATCTACAGGCTTCCATTCATGCCTTGCAGATCATGCTGCCGGCTCACCTACCTCTCCACCCCTTTCTCTGCTTCATGTTAAACCATATAGTTCCCTTGATTTGAAGTAACTTACTATTTAAAGATAGTAATTCAGTTGTATAGAAATAATCAGGAAGAATTTATCTTGGTTTTCCCAAATAAGTAAGAAACAAAGACTCTTATTTTGGCCATTGACAGTAGGCCCTTGTGGTTCATGAAGAGACTTGAAGACAAGTTAGAACCACAGTCCCTTCCTTTCTTCCTACTCCCTTTGTTTATATACATTTTTCAAGCCTTAATGAATTTCTCAGAATTGAGGCAAGCCAATAGAGCATTATTGGATCTTACCTTACAGTCTTCACCACCAAGTCACTTGAGTGCATTGTTGCATCTTGGGTAGATCTCATAATCAGGTAATGTTTCCCACAAATGTGTTCTCTTCTCTTGCCTGACCACAATTCATCTTTGTTAGCAAGATGTTGGAAAAAATATATATAACTCTTAAATACTAAGATGTTTTGTACTAAATATTCCTATTTATTTTCTAAGTGAACAAATGTTCTTCTCTAATAGTTTCTAGGATGATATAGGGTATGGGGCCCAATAAAAAAGCCAGTATACCAGATACCACAACCCTTATTATGCCATGTCTCTTAAGCTCTTTCAGAGTCAGCATCAGCAGAACCTAAAAGCACACTCAAGCTTTGTTCCCATGAAGATTTCCTGAAGAGAAAAGGAAAAGAGAAGTCTGGAGGGGTGATATGATCAATGAATGGAACTGGGGAGAAAATGAAGTGGAAACATTCCCTAGACATAAAATGTATAGATGTCCTAAGATCGAAAGTAACTTTTCTAGTTATGCTTTGAGGGACTATAAAGGTTAAAAAAATAACTATAGGCAGGTATTTTCATTCTATTAAGAAAATCAGATATGCAATAATGCAATAATTGATGCTACAAGTTATATATAGATGCTAAAATATTGATATAAAAATAATGCTACAGTGGCATGAAGGTTTGGGTTTTGATCAATATAGAATGAAGTAGATGGAAAATATTTCTAGAGTTGGAGAATTTTGACATGGATCATAAATATTACACGGGGTTTGGCCAAATTGAAGGGAGGAGAGAGGGAAGGAGATAAAGTATTCTAGTCCACTGCACAAGATTATCGAATAAATATCCCATATCTGTTCTTGTTCACCACTCTGGGGTTTTGTTTTTTTTGTCAGACCCTGGATAAGACAACATTTCCCCTTCTCTGTGCTTTCTTTCAGAAATTTCTACCATACATGAGTAGGAGAGAGTAAGGAAATATTTCGGGCATAAATTAGCAGAGCAAATAACTTTTTTAAGCCATTGAAAGTGCAACTTTGACTATTCTATCAATGTGTAAGAAATGTGATACAAATGTGATGCCTAACTTACCTTTGTTCTTAAGATCTATGTGATAAAGGAGAAGAGAGAACGCACTTGTCTGGTCCTCATCATCTGTAACATAGAGTTTGAGCACCTCTCAAGGCGAAATGGAGCTGAACATAACATCATAGGGCTGAAAGGGCTGCTTGAGGACCTGGACTACAGTGTGAATGTGGAAAAGAACCTCACAGCCACAGTAAGGGTCCCTGCCACATGCAAGGCATATAAACCTACATGTTCACATACTTCCAATGACAAATTAACTTTATAATTTGATCATTCATTTAATTTCTGTGGGCTTCACTTTCTTCAACTTTAAATGAAAAAGTTAAAACCAAGGTCTGTAATTCTATGTACACCTCCTTTGAAATACACACACACACACACACACACACATTTACCAAAAACCAAACCAAACTTGCTGCCCTCAAGTCAATTCTGACTCATGGTGACCCCATGTGTTACAGAGTAGAGCTGCTCTGTAGGATTTTCGTGGCTGTAATCTTTACAGAAGCAGATCATTAAACCTTTTCTTCCGTGGAGCTGCTGAGTGGATTTGAACCAGCAACTTTTAGGTTAGAAGATGAGCACAAACCATTTATACCACCCAGAGACCTATACATACACACACACATACACGTGTATATATACTATGTTCATGAACACACACACCTATATCATATTGTATGCCCTCTGATATCCTCTAATCTACTGCCAGTGCCTCCTATTGGTGAAACACAACTGGAAGCTGATTGGCAAGAGAGTCCAAATGATGAGGTCCATGGAGCCACAAAACAGGAAAGAGAAGAGCAGGGAATGGATATGGGGAAGACAAATAAAAAATAACCAGCACAAGATGAATGAAATAAGGAAAATTTATAAAATCAGAGTGGTGAAATATTCACCTGAATTATTATAGTAACCATGGCATTAACAATAACAACAACAAAAACAAAATAACAATTACAATTGCCACTTCTGAACACCTACTATATATCATACCGTGTAAATTGCCAGGCACTTTACACATATTCTTTCTATTGCTCAAAGCATCACTGGCAGAATTAGGTAGGTATCATGATCTTATGTTTATAGGTTTACTCTTTCTTCAGGAGATGGAGTCAAAACTAGTGGCATTTGCTGCCCGCTCTGAGCACAAGTCCTCTGACAGCACATTCTTGGTATTCATGTCTCACGGTCTACTGCATAAACTCGTTGGGATTAAGCATAGTGACAACAAACCTGATGTATTGTTTTACGACACCATATTCCAAATATTCAACAATCCCAAATGCACCCATCTGAGAGACAAACCCAAAGTCATCATCATCCAGGCCTGCAGAGGCGGTGAGTGCTGATGGGGGTCCAGAGGTGAGGGAAGTGCCTGTGGTTTGAGGGTTGTGCTGTCTGTTTTATATCTAGTGAATACGATCTTCAGCCTCACTCTAGTGCAATTATACTAGATAAATTTCTTTGGAAAGAGCACTTTAGGGTAGCAATGGAGACACTGGTATACAACATGAATGTAAATATCATCCGCTGTCAGTGAACCGTAGAAAGTGGTGACGATGCTAATGTTAACTCTAAATTATCTTAAAGTAGAATTATTAAAATCATGACATGAAATGGCTTTAATGTTAACATTTTCTAGCCAAAATTTTATGATCTCTGACATGAGAAGTATTTCATAGAATAGTGAGGGATCAAAATTTAATACCATTCTAAGTAAGTGAAAGAAGCCAGAATCAAAAGGCCACATACTATGTAATTCAAATTATATGGCATTTAGAACAAGGCAAACATATAGGGACAAAAAAAGATGAATGGTTGTCAGAGGCTGGGAATGGGGATATTCTATATCTTGATTATGGTAGTGGTTACATAACTATCTATTTGTTAAAATCAGTTAAACTGTACACCTAAAAATGTGAATTTTGCTGTATATACATTATACTTTGAAAAAAATAATATGGCATTGCTTTTTCCCATGAATCTTTTGAATTCAAGCTTTAATGGAATTATAGGTCTTGGGGAATGGCAAGGGGAAGAAAGAAATAGCAATGGGGAAGGAAAGAATATGAAAAGATTTGTTTAGAATCACTTGGTTGTTTATTGAATAAAGCAGATATTTCCACGTGGCTTTGCACTGCCTCCTGGCCTTGGCATATCCTGGATATATCTCAGCCACAATCTTGTCATTCCTATTGTTGTTATTTTACTATTGTTAAACCAAAAACTGCTCACTTTACTTAGAGATAATCAATAACAGTTTTTGGCTCCATTATTGCCTTGATCAGTAGATATCTTTCAGTTCCAAAAGGCCATTGCTATTCATTGACATTCTGTTAGATGTGAGTAGAGATCAGGTTTTACTGTGTCTGTATTGTGTTTGTATGAAATTAATGGGAATATCTTTATAAAAAGGAGTTCTGTTTATGTAGACAGTTGTCAAAGAACTGCTAAAATCTGCACAACAGTGAATAATAGGATATTGCTTCTACAGAACTCTGAAGGGAGGTATGGGTCAATGACTCTCCAGCATCCTCAGCAAACAGCTCTTCACAGTCACCAAAGAACCTGCAGAATGATGGTGTCCACAAGACCCATGTGGAGAAGGACTTTGCTGCTTTCTGCTCTTCAACACCACGTATGTGTCTTTCATTTGCGGGCAAGGATTTGTGGGAAGGAAGCTTCCTTTCCTGCATGATTTGGCCCATTATTTTAGGAAAGAAAACAGACTAAAAGTCTTGGGAATTGTTGGAATTTATAAGTTAATGGAGAGCCCATCCAAGTTTCTTCAGCCTTCTTTATAGCTGTTTTCCAGTGGCCTTGCCTCCTTCTACATCTAACTATATGCCAGTTTTCCATATCCTTTTAGCAAATGACCAGCCAGTAGGCAAATATCATCATTTTTTAGTGAATCCACTATGTAGAATAGAATTGTTTTTACAGCTGAGGAGATTTTTAAAAGAAAAAGAGGACACAACTCCCTTTTCAAAAAGGGCATTTTCTGGTTTGAAAAATAAGAAATCTAGGTATGAAATATTGTTTATAAAATCATCAAACAATTAGTAACACCCAGTAAGGTGAGATTACAACCTAGGAATAGTTAAGAGTTTTAGAGGCTCAATTAAGAAAGCCACCATATTTAAGGTGATCAATTTAAAAGAAGGAGATGGTATAGTAGAAAGAAAGGAATTCCTAGTGGGAGCATGGACTGGGAAAAGTGGGAAAAGGCAGACTGAATTTATAAAATGTCAAACAAAGCTTTTCCTTGAGGTCATAAATGGAAGCAAGTCAACAATTACTGATACAGATAGATAGACAGATAGATAGCTATAGATATAATTATTTTATCTTTAGCACATCTCTGCCAGGTCTGCCAAGTAAGCATTATTAGCCCACTCTCATAGACAAGGAAATTGAAACTCACAAAAAGTGTATAAATTGCCTGAGTAAACACAGGTAGTATGGTAGTATTTTGCCAGGTATGAATGCAAGCCAGTTTGACTCTGAAGTTTAGGCTCCTTTGGTAGACTAACAATAACAACACAGAGACTATACTATTTAGAGCTTTTAATTTTTAGTAGTTCCAGGAAATGGCTACTATAAACTCAGAGCATAGCAGCCTTGCCAAAAGCCAGTTCTGTCCATGACTGATATGGGAATTGACCCAACTAATGTTAACTTAGAGAGAGCATCCCTTCCGAGATAGATAAGAGTTCAGTAGCAGCCCCATCACTTTTATAGTTTTTTCACCTTGGTCAAGTTTTCAAGAATAAGTGAGAAAATGTGAAACTACAGCCTCTAGCATCAATTTCAATATATCAGTTTTATATTCTGTACTATGGTTCTAGAGCCCTATTTCCTCACTGATGGTGTTATAACACTTACGTTTTTTACAGTTCAATATAAACCCACCATGTTACTCTATGCTTAAAGAGTCAGGCACAGAATCTGACTATTTATTTCTCCTACTTGCTTAAATATGTCCAAAGATATTTACAATCTAAGACTTTTGGAAAAGATGAAGGCCATAGCTCAAGATTTAACTTTACTTTTATTCAGAGATGATGTTTCCTGGAGAAATGAAAGTGGTTCTGTCTTCATCACACAACTTATAAATTGTTTCCAAAAACATGCTTGGTGTTGTCACTTGATAGAAATATTTGGGAAGATAAGTTCCATATGCTGTGTTGCACTCATTTATTCATGTGAGCCAAAACAAATATATATTAAGACCACCCATAAATTTTACATATATCATAGTATATAATTCACAGTGTGGTGTACCTTGCTTTTTAATTATTTCTAAGATAATGATATGAAGTGCTGATAGGCAAGAAATGTCAATACATATTGAGCTACTGTATTTTAAACATTAAAAATTAGTGAGATAAGGAAGAGTTAGAGACTACAAATATTGTAAACATTCTCTATGAAAATATATGTGTTATTGATTAAGATTTACTTAAATATTCAGCTTATGGAAAATATTTGGTACAAAATTTATATTTTTCTTTATAAACAAAAATGGGGCTACATGATGCAGATAAAGCAGTAAACATCACAGACACAGTCCTGTTTCATAGCCAATATTTTAGTAGGAGATAGAGACAGTAAAAGCCACATCATCCAAATATACATAATTTTCAGTTTCTGGGGGTGGGAACAAAGTATCAGTGTCCTGTAAGAGAGAATAAGGAATCTGTAGTTGTTAGAAAAATTAAAGCTTGATGGAATAGGGCAATTTTTGTGAGTGTTTCTGCCTGACATAAAAACTATTTACTGGTCAGTGGAAGAAATAAGGAAGAGGGCAGGAAATGAGTGAAAAAAGAATCTGAAATAAGGCCTTAAGGGACAAGAAGTTGGGAGAACAAGAAGATCAAGTCTTCAGGAGAACTGTGGTGAGAATCTCCAAGATTAAGATCTTCAATGTGTAAACCGGAAGTGAAAATTTGTAGTTAAAATCTAGCTTCCAGGCCATATGCTTTAACAGGGACTGAAATCACACTCCTGTTTGAAACAAAAAGACAGACAAAATATATGCAGCTAACAGTTTTCAAAACACAACACAGACAATGAAGGACACTGAACCCTGACAGATGGAATTATAAAAAAAGAGTGAATCCTACGATTCCATGAGCTTACTATATTGAGAGAGTTTCCAGGCTACAGCACAGGGAGGCAGAGGCAAGTCAAAACTTGGTGTATTTCCAGAGTTGCAGAGTTGAGGAGACAGAGCAAAGTCTTAAGAATCAGGTGGTAGAGTTTACAGAAGAGAATACCAAAGAGGAGAGAGTTGCAGGAGGAAATCTGAAGATCTTTAGAGGGACTCCTCAAGTATTTAAAGAGCATGTGTGTAAAAAAACCAACTTGAATCAAGGGAAAGATGTACTCTAAAGGATTAGAGGAAACACCACTATGGTACTCATATAGGACCAGGACTAGTGCTTGTATGTGAACTGTGTGAAGCAAAAATGGATAGAACTGTAATGATAAATAAATATATCCACAATCAGAGTCAGAGATTTTAATACCTCTCTCTCAATAATTGATAGAACAGGGACACAGATAATGAAAGACGATAGAGAAGACAGGAACAACACAATCAAATAACTTGATCCAGTTGCCATGTATCGACTACTCCAAACAACAGTAGCAGAATACACATTGTTTTCAAGTGCACATGGAAAATTTACCAAAATAAACTATTTTCTGGGCCATGAGTAAAGTCTCAATACATTTAAAATACTTCAAGTCATACAAAATATGTTTTCTAACCACAATTGAATCAATTTAAAATCCAAAATAGGAAGGTTTCTGGAAAATCCCTAAATATTTGGAAATACAAAAAATACATTTTTAAATAACAAGTGGGTCAAAGGAGGAATTACGATGGAAATTAGAAAGCATTTGACTGAATGTATATTAAAACACAACGTATCAAAAGCTATAATATGCTACTAAAGCAGAGTTTAGTAGGAAATTTAAAGAGCCCTGATGGTGCAATGGTCAAAGCACTTGGCTGCTAACCTTGATAGTCCTTCTTCTATCAATTATTGAGAGAGAGGTATTAAAATCTCTGACTCTGATTGTGGATACGTTTATTTATCATTACAGTTCTATCCATTTTTGCTTCACGTAGTTCACGTACAGGCACTTGTCCTGGTCCTATATGAGTACCGTAGTATTGTTTCCTCTAATGCTGTAGAGTAGATCTTTCCCTTGATTCAAGTTTTTTTTTTTTTTTTTTTTTTTAAACACACATGCTAAACAGTGCTCTTTAAATACTTAAAGGTGGTTCCTAGGGGTAAAAGACCTGGCAATCTGCTCTTGTAAAGATTATAGCCTAGGAAACCATTTTGGGGAGTTCTACTCTGTCCCACAGGGCCGCTGTGAGTAGGAACAGACTTGATGGCACACAACATAACAACATATGATAATATTAGAAAACAAGAAAGTTCTTAAATCATTAACCTCATCTTCCACCTTAAGGAGCTAGAAAAAGTAGAGCAAATAAAAACAAAAGTAAACAACAATAGAAATATTAGAGAAGAGTGAAAATTAGTAAAATGAAAAACGTAAGTACAATAGAGAAGATAAATGTTACCAAATGCTGGTTCTTTTAAAAGCTTAATAAAATTGATAAAACTCTGAGTAGGAAAAATGAGACACAAATTACTAGCATCAGGAATGAGAGAAGTAATATCATTACAGATTGTATATATATTAAAAGGATAAGGAAAAATAATGAAGATCATTCTGCACATAATTACTATAACTTATATGAAATGGATAAATTCTTTGAAATACATAAACTACTAAAGCTCAATAAAGGAGACATAGAAAATATAAAATAGCACAACCACTTTTAAAAATATTTTGGAATGTTCTTAAATAGCCAATCATATACTTACACATATTCCAACCCTTTCAGTTCTAGATATTTACCCAAGAGAAATGAAAGTATATGTTCATACAATACTTGAACAAGAATATTAATAACAGCCATGTTTGTAATAGCTCAAAACTCAAAACAGCCTAAATGTTGAAGAACAGTTGAAAGGATAAAAAATGTTGCAGAATAGCCACACAATGGAAAACTATTCAGCAATGAAAAGAAATAAACTATTGATACATGCAACATCATGGATAAATCTCAAAATAATTATGCTGAGTGAAAGAAGTGAAAAAAAAGTGTACATACTGTATGATTTTATTTATATAAAATTCTAGAAAATTCAAACTAACTTATTTTTATTTTCTTTGGAATTGGGTTGGGGGTGGAATAGAAAAGATTGCAAAGTCTTATGAGGAACATTTTGAGGGTGCTGCGTACATTTACTGTAGTAATTGTGGTGATGTGTACCCATATGTCAAAATTTTTCAAATTGTGCAGTTTAAATATGGCACTTTATTGTACAATCTCTCCTCACTTATCAACATGGTTAGGTTCCAAAGACCAGGTCATTATGTGAAAACAAATTTATGTGAAAATGGAAGATGCCCACATCAGATCACAAAATAGAGGATGACTACATCATTACATATCTGCCAAATTACATAATTGCCAAATCATATCTTTACATAACTGCCAAACCACTGAGAATCACGACCCAGCCAAGCTGACACATGAACTTAACCGTCACAGCTAGCATTACTTTTGCCTTAAACCTCAGTGTTCATTCCTGCCACACGTGTTGACAGTGCCCAAAATAGTCAGATAGTAGATTTTTTTTTACTATTGTAAAGGCAAAATGTTAGATAATGAAAAAGCTGATAAGTGAGGAGAAGGTGTATGTGAATTCTACCTCAATATATTTTTTTTAAATCTGGAAATCAGAAACAAAGTTAATTGAGTAACTGAGGTTGATGGGGTCTTGGAGTCACTGGGAATTTGTCTGAAGCTAAAGTTTAGTGTCTGACTTATGTTATTGATTTATAAGTGTCAGTGAGAGTTATCAGAATAATTAAGGACTCGGTAACTTTTTAGAATTGTTACAGCTCTTCTTTCTTCACAACTCTCAGAATACTTCAATTCCAATCATTATCTTGTCAGCCTATGGTACAATGGCTTCTCTGTTTCTGCACAATGGGCAGGACCAAAATCTCTGTTTTTATTTTTATTTTTATTTATTTATTTTTTTATTGTAC